TTCTCTTCTTCTTCTGAAACCCCTATAATTCGAATGTTGGTGCATTTAATGTTGCCCCAGAAGTCTCTGAGACTGTCCTCAGTTCTTTTCATTCTTTTTTCTTTATTCTGCTCTGCAGTAGTTATTTCCACTATTTTATCTTCCACGTCACTTATCCGTTCTTATGTCTCAGTTATTCTGCTATTGATCCCATGTAGAGTATTTTTAATTTCATTTATTGTGTTGTTCATCATGGTTTGTTTCATCTTTAGTTCTTCTAGGTCCTTGTTAAATGTTTCTTGCATTTTGTCTATTCTATTTCCAAGATTTTGGATCATCTTTACTATCATTATTCTTAATTCTTTTTAAGGTAGACTGCCTATTCCCTCTTCATTTGTTAGGTCTGGTGGGTTTTTATCTTGCTCCTTAATCTGCTGTGTGTTTTTCTGTCTTCTCTCTTGCTTAACTTACTGTGTCTGGGATCTCCTTTTTGCAGGCTGCAGTTTCATAGTTCCCATTGTTTTTGCTGTCTGTCCCCAGTGGCTAAGGTGGTTCAGTTGGTTGTGTAGGCTTCCTGGTGGAGGGAACTAGTGCCTGTGTTTTGGTGGGTGAGGCTGGATCTTGTCTTTCTGATGGGCAGGTTCACGCCTGGTCGTGTGTTTTGGGGTGTCTGTGGACTTATTATGATTTTAGGCAGCCTCTCTGCTAATGGGTGGGCTTGTTTTCCTGTCTTGCTAGTTGTTTGGCATAGGGTGTTCAGCATTGTAGCTTGCTGGTAGTTGAGTGAAGCTGGGTGCTGGTGTTGAGATGGAGATCTCTGGGAGATTTTCACCGTTTGATATTATGTGCAGCTGGTAGGTCTCCTGTGGACCAGTGTCCTGAAGTTGGCTCTCCCACCTCAGAGGCACAGCACTGACTCCTGGCTGCAGCACCAAGAGCCTTTCATCCACACAGCTCAGAATAAAATGGAGAAAAATTAGAAAGAAAGAATTAGTAGAAGTAGAAAGAAAGAAAGAAAAATGAGGGAGGGAGGGAGGGAGGAAGGGAAGGAAGGAAAAAAAGAAAGAAAGAAGGTAAAGTAAAATAAAATATAGTATGTTAAAATATAATAACGTTATTAAAATAAAAAAATAATTATTAAGAAAAAAAGATTAAAAAAAAAAACGGACTGATAGAACCCTAGGACAAATGGTGGAAGCAAAGCTATACAGACAAAATCTCACACAGAAGCATACACATACACACTCACAAAAAGAGGAAAAGGGGAAAAAATAATAAATCTTGCTCTCAAAGTCCCTTCCTCAATTTGGGATGATTCGTTGTCTATTCAGGTATTCCACAGATGCAGGGTATATCAAGTTGATTGTGGAGATTTAATCCGCTGTTTCTGAGGCCGCTGGGAGAGATTTCCCTTTCTCTTCTGTGTTCTCACAGCTCCCAGGCCCTCAGCTTTGGATTTGGCCTCACCTCTGCGTGTACGTAGCTGGAGGGCGTCTGTTTTTTGCTCAGACAGGACGGGGTTAAAGGAGCCGCTGCTTCCGGGACTGTGGCTCACTCAGGCCAGGTGGGAGGGAGGGGCACGGAATGCGGGGCAAGCCTGCGGCGGTAGAGGCCAGCGTGACGTTGCACCAGCCTGAGTCACGCAGTGGGTTATCCTGGGGAAGTTGTCCCTGGATCCTGGGGCCCTGGTAGTGGTGGGCTGCACAGGCTCCCCGGAAGGGGGGTGTGGATAGTGACCTGTGCTCGCACACAGGCTTCTTGGTGGCGGCAGCAGCAGCAGCCTTAGCTTCTCTGGGGTCCGTGCTTTTAGCCGCGGCTTGCGCCCGTCTCTGGAGCTCCGTTAAGCAGGGTTCTTAATCCCCTCTCCTCGCGCACCAGGAAACAAAGAGGGAAGAAAAAGTCTCTTGCCTCTTCGGCAGGTCCAGACTTTTCCCCGGACTCCCTCCCGACCAGCCGTGGCGCACTAACCCCCTTCAGTCTGTGTTCCCACTGCCAAACTCAGTCCTTTCCCAGCTCTCCAACCGAAGCCCAGGCCTCAGCTCCCAGCCCCGCCCGCCCTGGCGGGTGAGCAGACAAGCCTCTCGGGCTGGTGAGTGCCGTTTGGCCCTGATCCTCTGTGCGGGAATCTCCCCGCTTTGCCCCCCGCACCCCTGTTGCTGTGCTCTCCTCCGCGGCTCTGAAGCTTTCCCCCTCCGCCACCCGCTGTCTCCGCCCGCGAAGGGGCTTCCTAGTGTGTGGAAACCGTTACTCCTTCACAGCTCCCTCCCTCTGGTGCAGGTCCCGTCCCTATTCTTATGTCTCTGTTTATTCTTTTTTCTTTTGCCCTACCCAGGTACGTGGGGGATTTCTTGTCTTTTGGGAGGTCTGAGGTCTTCTGCCAGCGTTCAGTGGTTGTTCTGTAGGAGTTGTTCCACGTGTAGATGTATTTCTGGAGTATCTGTGGGGAGAAAGGTGATCTCCACGCCTTACTCTTCCGCCATCTTCCCGGAAACCTCTGAGCTTTGTTTTTCTTTCTTTCTTTATTTTTGGCTGTGTCAGGTCTTCGTTGCTGCACACGGGCTTTCTGTAGTGCGGTGAGCAGGGGCTACTCTTCGCTGTGGTGTGTGGACTTCTCATTGCGGTGGCTTCTCTTGTTGTGGAGCACGGGCTCTAGGCACAGGGGCTTCAGTAGTTATGCCATATGGGCTCAGTAGTTGTCGCATGCAGGCTCTACAGCGCAGGCTCAGTAGTTATGGCACACGGGCTTAGTTCCTTTGTGGCATGTGCGATCTTACTGGACCAGGGCTCGAACCCGTGTCCCCTGCATTGGCAGGCGGATTCTTAACCACTGTGCCACCAGGGAAGCCCCCACCAAAGCTTTTAATTTTGATGTGTTTTTGGTGTCATGTATACGAAATCAGCACTAAGTCCCAGGTCATGAAGGTTTTTCCTTAGTTTTCTTCTAAGAGTTAGGATTTTAGTTCTCATGTTTAGGTTTTTGATCCATTTTGCATTAATTTTTGAATGTGGTGTAATGTAAGAGTCCAAATTCTTTTTTTTTTTTTTTTTTTTTGCATGTGTATATCCAGTTTCCCCAGTACCATTTGTTGAAGAGACTTTTGTTTCCCCATTGAATGGCCTTGGCACTCTTTTCAAAAACCAATTTACTACAGGTGTATGGGCTTATTTCTGGACTCTCAATTTTATTTAATTGATCTGTATGTCTACCATTATGTTAGTACCACAATGTTTTGATTGCCGTAGGTTTTGTAGTAAGTTTTGAAATCAGTAAGTGTAAGTCTTACAACTTTGCTTTTCTTTTTCAAGGTTGTTTTGGCTATTCTGGGTCCCTTGTAATTCCATATAAATTTTAGTATCAGCTTTCTATTTCTGCAAAAAAGACTACTGGGATTTTGATAGGGATCATACTGAATCTGTAGATTGCTTTGGGTGTTATTGCCATCTCTCTCTCTCTCTTTTTTTTTTAACGTGCCTATGAAAAAGGAATTTTTAAAAACTTTTATTATGGTAAATCTTAAATATATACAAAAGTAGTGATATTTATCAATTTATCATCCAGTGTATTGGTCAGGGTTCTCCAGAGAAACAGAACCAAATATATACTATATATATTTTATATATAATATATAATTGTATCTATATCTGTAATATATCTATAGAGAGAGGAAAGAGAGAGAGAGATTTTTTTTTAGGAATTGGTTCCCATAATTGTGGAGGCTGAGAAGTCCCATGATCTGCCACCTGCATTCTACAGACCCAGGAAAGCTGGTGCTGTAGGTCCAGTCCTGAAAGTGGAGAGCTGATGGTACAAGTTCTAGTTTGAGGCAGGAGAAGACCAAAGTTCCAGCTCAGTGGTGAGGCAGAGCCAATTCTCCCTCCCTCTGCTTTTTGCTCTCCAGCCCTCAATGGATTGTATGATGCCCACACGCACTGTGGAGGAGGATCTGCTTTACTTAGATTTTTACAGATTCAAGTGCTAATCTCATCTGGAAATACCCTCACAAACACACCCCAAAATCATGTTTAACCAAGTGTCTGTACATCCTATGACCCAGTCAAGTTGACATGTGAAATTAACCATCACATTTAACACTTTTCAACATGCCCGATCTTGTTAGATCTAGAGGTTTGATCAGATTCATGTTCTGTCTTTTTATTGCCATCTTAACAATATTAACTGCTCCAGTTCATGAACATGAGATATACTTCCAGTTATTTAGATCTTCTTTGATCACTTTCAACAATGTTTTGTAGTTTGCAAGGTACAAGTCTTGAACCTCCTTGATTAAATTTATTCCTAAGTATTTCATTCTTTTCAATGCTATTGTAAGTGGAATTGTTTTCCTACCTTAATTTTTTTGATTGTTCATTGCATGTTTTATGTGTTGATTTTGTATCCTGCAAGTATGCTAAATTAATTTATTAGCTCTAATAGTTTTTTTGTGGATTCTTCAGAATTTTCTGTATATATAAGATCATGTCATTTGTGAATATAGTTTTACTTCTTCCTTTGCAATCTGGATGCTCTTTGTCTGTTTTTCTTAGCTAATTGCTCTGGCTTGAATTTCTAGTACAACGTTGAATGGAATTTGTAAAACAAGACACCCTTGTCTTGTTCCTGATCTTAGGAGACAAGCTTTCAGTCTTTATCATTGAATATAATGTTACCCGTGGGCTTTATTTTAAAACCTTTTTTTTAAACTCTGATTTTGAAATAACTGAGTTAAACTACACAGCTTAGAAACCTAACACGTCATCTGGAAGTCCACCAATCCCCAGACATGATTACTATTCATATTTTGAAAATTGATCTGTAAATATCCTTAACATTTTTTCCAAAAATATGATGGAGTAGATACTGTCTATATTACTAAAACAGGCAGCAGATATCTTATCTGTAGCATCTCAGGTAATGGGAGTTATCTGTTACCATTAATCTTGAAATGAAACATTTTGAAATGTACTATCTTTGGGAATATGGCTGGTATTTTTTAATGTGTGTTCTTTGTTTTAAATTACAGATTGGGTTTGTCCTTTATCCCCCCAGTGGAGGTCCTGCATGGGATTCAGTGGATCATGACAACGTTATGTTTCTCACCATATGCTTTTGTTGGCATTATGCAATAGCCATTATCATCATTGGAGCAATTTATGCCTTTGTCACCTGGTAAGTTAGTGATTTTTGTTCATGGAAGTTCTATTTTTTGGTATATGATCATCAAGACTTGATATTACCAAACTTTAAGTTCAAAGAGGTATTTCATTCCTTAGCATTCCACAAAACAGGGTAATATAGCAGAAAATTATCTGCAAACACAAACATTTCCAATAAAAAGAATAAATGCTGGTTTTAGGGGCAGGACAGGAATAAAGGCGCAGACATAGAGAATGGACTTGAGGACATGGGGAGGGGGAAGGGTAAGCTGGGGTAAAGTGAGGGAGTAACAGTGACATATACACACTACCAAATGTAAAGCAGATAGCTAGTGGGAAGCAGCTGCATAGCACAGGGAGATCAGCTCAGTGCTTTGTGACCATCTAGAGGGGTGGGGTAGGGAGTGTGGGAGGAAGATGCAAGAGGGAGGGGATATGGGGATATCTGTATATGTATAGCTGATTCACTTTGTTATACAGCAGAAACTAATACAACATTGTAAAGCAATTATACTCGAATGAAGATGTTAAAAAAAAAGAAAATAAAAAATAGAACGAATGAGAAAACTTAAAAAAAAAAAAGAATAAATGCTGGTTTAAAGTTGGAATAGCTAAAAAGTGTCTCTGCTGTGCTCCTAACCTATGCATTACCCTTCAGCACACTCTTCTGTGCCTCCATGTCTTTGCATATGCTGTTTTCTTATCCAAATGGTCCTCCCCACACCTGCAGTGAGCCCTCCATTTGCCCATGTTTACATCAGTTATAGCACTTCCCAAGCTTGGTGTCATTTTTGACCAACATGTATGTCTCCCATTAAATTTGAGTATCTGGTTACTTTGACATTTCCTGTAATATTTCTAACAGTAAGATTCAGTTGAACTGTACATGTTTTTACAAGGACTTTGATACAATGTTTCATGATGGGTGAGGAGCGATATAACAGATTGCTAAGAATCCATGTTCCTAGCTCTGCTGCTTGTCAGCTGTATGACTTTGGGTAAACTATTTAACCACATTAAATATCAGTTTTGTCATTTACAAAACAGAGATAATAATAGTACCTAAATGAGATCATGTATTTAAACTGCCCACAACATAATAGGAGCTCAAGGAAGATTCTTCTTGTGTTTGTTTGTTGGTTTTTTTTTTCAGTTTCCTGTGATAGATTTCTTTTTAAATTGAAGTGCAATTGACATACAACATTATACTAGTTTTAGGTGTACAACATAATGATTCAACTTTTGTATACATTGCAAAATGACCGCCACAATAAGTCTAGTTATACCATCTGTTACCATACAAAGTTACAAAAATTTTTTTCTGTGATGAGAACTTTCAAGATTTACTTTATTAGCAACTATCAAATCTGCAATACAATGTTACTGATTATAGTCACCATGCTGTATATAATATCCCCATGACTTTTTAATTTTATTTATTTTTCTCATTTTTTAAAGAAACTTTTAATTTTATATTGGAGTACAGTTGATTAACAATGTTGTATTAGTTTCAGGTGTACAACAAAGTGATTCAATTATACATATACATGTGTCTATTCTTTTTCAAATTCTTTTTGCATTTAGTTTGTTACAGGATATTGAGCAGAGTTCCCTCTGCTATACAGTAGGTCCTTGTTGGTTATCCATTTTAAATATAGTGGTGTGTACATGTCAATCCCAAGCTCCCTAAATATCTCTCCCTCCTACCCTTCCCCTCTGGTAACCATAAGTTCATTCTCTAAGTCTGTGAGTCTGCTTCTGATTTGTATATAAGTTCATTTGTATCATTTTTTAGATTCTGCAGAGAAGCAGTCATATGATATTTCTCTTTCTCTATCTGACTTACTTCACTCAGTATGACAATCTATAAGTCCACCCATGTTACTGCAAATGGCATTATTTCATTCTTTTTAATGGCTGAGTAATATTCCATTGTATATATGTCCACATCTTCTTTATCCATTCTTTTGTTGATGGACATTTAGGTTGCTTCCATGTCTTGGCTATTGTAAACAGTGCTGCAATGAACATTGGGGTGCATGTATTCTTTCAAACCATGTTTTTCTCTGGGTGTATGCCCAGGAGTGGGATTGCAGAATCATATGGTAGCTCTATTTTTAGTTTTTTAAGGAACCTCTATACTGTTCTCCATAGTGGCTGCACCAGTTTACATTCCCACCAACAGTATAGGAGGATTCCCTTCTTTCTACACACTCTCCAGCATTTACTGTTTGTGGATTTTTTGATGATAGCCATTCTGACTGGTGTGAGGTATTATGATCATCTCAATATTTGCAGAAAAAGCTTTTGACAAAATTCAACACCCATTTATGATAAAAACTGTCCAGAAAGTGGGCATAGAGGGAACATACCTCAACATAATAAAGGCCATATATGACAAACCTACAGCTAACATCATACTCAATGGTGAAAAGCTAAAAACATTTCCTCTAAGATCAGGAAAAAGACAAGGATGTTCACTCTTGTCACTTTTATTCAACATAGTTTTGGAAGTCCTAGCTATAGCAATCAGAGAATAAAAAGAAATAAAAGGAATCCAAATGGGAAAAGAAGTTAAACTGTCACTATTTGCAGATGACATGTTACTATACATAGAAAATCCTAAAGATGCTACCAGAAAACTACTAGAGCTCATCAACGAATTTGGTAAAGTTGCAGGTTAGAAAATTAATACACAGAAATCTGTTGCACTTCTATACACTAACAACAAAACATCAGAAAGAGAAATTCAAGAAACAACCCCATTTACCATCACATCAAAAAGAATAAAATACCTAGGAATAACCACACCTAAGGAGACAAAAGACCTGTGCTCTGAAAACTATAAGACTTATTTATTTTATAACTGGAGGTTTGTACCTCTTTATCCCCTTCACCCATTTTTGCCCACCTCCCCCCATTCTGGCAACCATCAATCTGGTCCTTCTATCTATGTGTTTTGTTTTGTTTGTTCATTTGTTTGTTAGATCTCACAGGTAAGTGAAATCATATGGTATTTGTCTTTCTCTATCTGCCTTATTTCACTTAATGTAATAGCCTCAATGTCCATTTCATTCTTTTTTATGGCTGACTAGTATTCCATTATGTACATATAAATATAAAATATTTATATTATATATATATATATATAAAAACATCTCCTTTATCCATTCATCCATTGATAGACCCTTAAGTTGTTTCGGTATCCTGGTTATTATAAATATGCTGCAGTGAACCTAGGGGTGCCTTTATCTTTTTGAATTAGTGTTTTCATTTTCTTCAGATAAATACCCAGAAGTGGAATTGCTGGCTTATTTGGTAGTTCTATTTTTAATTTTTTCTTTTTTTTTTTTTTTTTGCGGTATGTGGGCCTCTCACTGTTGTGGCCTCTCCCATTGCAGAGCACAGGCTCTGGACGCGCAGGCTCAGTGGCCATGGCTCATGGGCCTAGCCGCTCCGCGGCATGTGGGATCTTCCTGGACTGGGGCACAAACCCATGTCCCCTGCATTGGCAGGCAGACTCTCAACCACTGCGCCACCAGGGATGCCCTATTTTTAATTTTTTGAGGAAGCTCCATGCTGTTTTCCACAGTGGCTGTACCAATTTACATTGCCACCAACAGTGCATGAGGGTTCTCTTTTCTTCATATCCTGGCCAACACTTGTTATTTCTTATCCTTTTGATAATAGCCATTCTACAGGTATGAGGTCATATCTCACTGGTGTTTTGATTTGAACTTCCCTAATGATTAGTGATATTGAACATTGTTTCATGTGCCTTTTAGTTATCTGTATGTCTTCTCTGGAAAAATGTCTATTCAAATTCTCTGCCTATTTTTATTTTGTTTTATTTATTTTTAACATCTTTATTGGAGTATAATTACTTTACAGTGGTGTGTTAGTGTCTGCTTTATAACAAAGTGAATCAGTTATATATATACATATGTTCCCATATCTCTTCCCTCTTGTGTCTCCCTCCCTCCCCCACCCTCCCTATCCCACCCCTCTAGGTGGTCACAAAGCACTGAGCTGATCTCCCTGTGCCATGCGGCTGCTTCCCACTAGCTATCTATTTTACATTTGGTAGTGTATATATGTCCATGCCACTCTCTCACTTTGTCACAGCTTATCCTTCCCCCTCCCCATATCCTCAAGTCCATTCTCTAGTAGGTCTGTGTCTTTATTCCCGTCTTACCCCTAGGTTCTTCATGACCCTTTTTTTTCCCCCTTAGATTCCATATATATGTGTTAGCATACGGTATTTGTTTTTCTCTTTCTGACTTACTTCACTCTGTGTGACAGCCTCTAGGTCCATCCACCTCACTAAAAATAACTCAATTTCGTTTCTTTTTATGGCTGAGTAATATTCCATTGTATATACGTGCCACATCTTCTTTATCCATTCATCTGATGATGGACACTTAGGTTGCTTCCATGTCCTGGCTATTGTAAATAGAGCTGCAATGAACATTTTGGTACATGACTCTTTTTGAATTTTGGTTTTCTCAGGGTATATGCCCAGTAGTGGGATTGCTGGGTCATATAGTAGTTCTATTTGTAGTTTTTTAAGGAACCTCCATACTGTTCTCCATAGTGGCTGTATCAATTTACATTCCCCCCAACAGTTCAAGAGTGTTCCCTTTTCTCCACACCCTCTCCAGCATTTATTGTTTCTAGATTTGTTGATGATGGCCATTCTGACTGGTGTGAGATGATATCTCATTGTAGTTTTGATTTGCATTTCTCTAATGATTAATG